CCACTTGGCATTTTCCATGGGAAACACGGAGAGAAGGAGGGAGGTGCTTGCCTAGTGGGTGCCCCTTGCAGGCTGGAGCTGGAGCCTGCAGGAGGTGGGTGGCCTGCAAAGGGGGTGTGCTGGTGCTGCTGAGTGAGGCCCCGGGTCTGAGCCAGTGCGTGGCGCAGCGACCCTGTGCGGCTTGGACTTCGTGTCAGATGAGGTTGTCCTGCATCGTGGGACCCCTGCCCCGTTCCTGGGCAGTCGGTGACCTCGAGGGCCACCTTCCTACTGCCACCAGGCTCACTCCTCAGCAAGGGTGGGGGCTGTGTCCCAGGAGCATGTGTGACACGCCGGGGCTTCTCCGCAAGTCAGTGCTTCCTACCCAAGGCTCCCCTGTGCCCGAGGTCGGCGCCCAGACCCCAGAGCGTGGCTCGAGTGGGCAGTGCCCTGGAGGATGGGCTTATAAAAGGGCACGTGGGCTTCCTCCGGGGAGTATTGGACGCATAGCGAGATAAGGAAGAGGGCTGCACACGTGGAGTAGGCGAGCTCGGGACCTGGCTCTGTCCACCCGTGTGGGCGGGCTGCTTATTTTCCCAGAACTTCTGTGTGTGTCCATGGACAAGGTCCGATTCAGAGGATGTTGATGGGGCATGTGACAGCGACGTGAGGACCCAGTGGCCTGGAGGGGATGCAGAGGAAAAGAGGAGGGCAGTGCGTCCTGAGACCTGGCGTCTGGCATGGGAGGTCGTGGTGGAGCTTGTTGGGCGTGCCCACCTCCCAGCAGCTCTGGCTGTAGCTTGTGCGGGTGACACCCAAGTTTTCCAGAAGCCCCTCCCTGGTCCCCGCCAAGGACAGCAGCGGGTGGCCTGACCTCTGCTGGCTCCCTAGGGCGGAGGTGAGCCCTACAGTCTGAACGCGTACCCGCTTTGGAGCGCAGTCTAAGGCCTCGGCTTCCCACCCGCCCAGCCCTTATCCATCCCCAGCCTGGCGAGTGTACTAGGATTGTTTGTGCAGGCTCCTTGTGGGGGAAGTGACATCATGCCGCGTCCTCGGCCCAGGGGGTGGGGGCGGGGCTGCGGTTGCGTGTGCTTTGAGTTAAGTCGCCGTGCGTTCCAGTAGCTGCATCTGGCAGTGAATTCGTCAGCCAGTGTATCGCCCTTGATCTCAAACCCAGATGGTGTGTTCACAGCAGAAGAGAAAGACGACGCGAAATCTGAGCCGCTCGGGGAGAAGCCAAGGTCTCGGGCACCAGCCAGCAGAGCAGGAGTCTTTGTCAAGGCTGCCCCCACCTCCCACTGCTGCCTCTGGTCCTGGCCGAGGGGCTGTGCAGCAGGGCAGCCCATTCCCGGGGCCTGACTCCCACTCCAGGCCTCACACCAGGCCCGGCACGTCGTAGGTGTTCTGGAAACGTCCGAGCTCTGATTAATTACTCCCCAGGCTCTCTGTGTCCCGTTGCTTTTCCCCACTCTGGGTGGGACTCAGTGGCCTCCCTCGGAGGAGCCTCCTTTCCTCTGCGGTCTTGGTCCTCTGGAATCAGTGACCATGCGTTTCCGTCGCCACGGGTGTGGGAGCGAACTTCCGGAGCGTGTTCTGGTCCCCTCCCTGTCCTGCATGGGCAATGGGAACTACTCTGTCTTCCTCCCATTGTCTGCCTTCTGGGATGGGACGCTCCTCCATGCCAGGCGTGTCCCTGGAGCCTTCGCAGGCATGACCCCCCCCAACACCCTCCTCCACCTGCCATTTCCTCTGGACAGTGGCCAGGTGCGTCTGCAGCTCCAAGCTGCGCTGCCTCCATGCCGGCAGGTGCACACTAGCCAGCTGTCCACCCAGCCCCTCTCCTGTGTCTGGGGGGTGCTGGTACATGGGAGGGTTTCCAGAGATCCGATTCTCATTTTCTTTCCTCACACAGTCTCATTTTCCAGAGTGAGGGATGAGATTCCCCCTGAGAATTTCAAGAGACCCTGAAGAGTCAGGTCTGGTGCCCCGAGGACAGACCGAGTCATCCCATGGAGATGGAGTCTCTCTGTCTCTGCTCCTTCCTACTGCTCTGCTGCAGCAAGCCTCTGATAGCCTCGGCACCTGTTACTGGCCGCCTTAACCCCATGAGCCTTCCCAGCGCTTGATCTGACCAGGGCTTCCTTCTGAGTGTGATGCACAGCCACAGGGCAGAGCAGGCGCCTTGGGAACTGCGTCAGGCCCCGACTGTGGGAGTCTGGCACCCAGCCAGGACCAGGCCCAACTGAGCAGCATGCCACCACCTCCAAAGCCCTGTCCCTCAGGAGGGGTGACTTGTCCTGTTCTCCGTGGTGCTGTTTTTGCTCTCTCTGGATTCCTCTCCTCCCCACTGCAGCCTTCCGGGGTGTAGGTCTGTGTTGTCTATGTATCAGGTGAGGGCACCTGAGGCACAGGGGAGTCGAGGCACCTCAGAGAGGTCACACGGCTGGTGCCCTGCAGGGTCTGTCCCCGACCTGGCCTCTTCCAAGTCAGAGCTCAGGCTCTCCCCGAGCTGTGGCAGCCTTGGTGAGGGAACAGTGCAGAGGCTGAGTGCGTACATAGGATGGAACCTTCGATGTTCCGATGTGGCTGTTCTGTGGCTGTTGTTCTGTGGGTGTTTTGGACTGTTTGCACATTTTCTCTTTGCCACCGGTGTGTTTGGTAAGCGTCTGTGGTGTGCTCGGTGTTGTGAACGTGGTGGACCATTGCAAAGCTTTTCCAAGAAGTCCCCAAAACATGTAGACTTCAGGGCCAGCAGGTGGCATAGTGGACAAGGTGCTGGACTCCCACATGGCTGATCGCAGTTCAAGCCCCACGCCTGGCAGCTTGAAAGTCATGGCAGGTGCGTGTGCATGCCCAAAACCCTGAGAGGAGAATGGGTTGAGGTGTGGCCATCCCCGGGGGGGTGGGGTGGGTGCCCACCTTCCCTCTGTTTCTGCCGCCGAGCATGCATAGCTTTTTGCAAAAATCTAAAAAGACAGAACCCAGTGGCTGCTATTCTGGCTCATTGCTCCTGTGGGAGCCATTGCTCCTTGGAACCTGTCTGTCTGGTCGAGCTGCTGACTGCACTGCATGAAAGCAACTGACCAAGTAGTCTGCACGTGGCCTGGTTTGCACAGGCATTTTCTGCGCAGCATGGCACTAAGGTAGCTTAGGCGGGTGTTAAGAGGAACCAAAGCCAGCCTTCCCTGGGCCCGCAGCCCACAGTCAGGTTTAGCCCAGTTCCACCCGCCAGCATTTAGTGGGCATCGTTCTGTGGTTGGAATGGAGCCGTGCCCTCTGAGGCCCCCGGCCCGAGCTGGCAGGCAGGCGACCAGCTCGGGGTCACAGCAGAGCAGCGGGGAGATGCAGAATATGCTGGGTGCTGCTGGAGCATGGAATGTCCTGGAAGAGACAGAAAGGGCTCTTTTTGCTGAGTCTTGAAGGATGAGTAGAAGTTTTCCAGGAAGGGAGGGAAGTGCTCATGGGTGGGGACACATGGGGCATGTTTGGGGCAGGGGAGTGTTATGGGCTGTCTGACTGTGGCGGCCAGGGCAACTGGCGGGTTCCAGGCTGTCGGGTCTCGTGCTTCAGAGGAGGCGGCGGGCAGCCACGGGAGACGTTTGCCGGAGGGACATGCATGTGAAGAGAGCTGGTGGCAGCGGGTGAAGGGAGATTGGTGATGAGCGAGGCACTGGAAGGAGGGACAGCTGCTGCTAAGGGCCAAGGCTTTGGCGCTGGGGGCCTCCTGGTCGGCATTTCCTGGATGTGGCTTTTCAGGGCAAGGCTGGGCCTAGCTGGGGGAAAAAGGAACCTGCAGCCCTCACCAGGCATGACTCAGCTCTAAGGAAGGGGAAGCAGAAAGGGGCTTGGGCCTCTGTGGGGCGGTGGTGGGACTCTGGTGCCAGCTGGATCCAGCAAGCACATCTGGAGCTCAGGGGAGGGACACACCGGAGCACCCCTGTACCTGAGCCTTCCTCTGGGAAAGATGGCCATGGCTGGGGGCTTCCGGAGGTTTGCGCCAACCACCGGGGCAGGGATGGGAGGCTGTTCTGAGCCTGGCGCTGTTCGCTCAGGCTCACACTAACCTGGCACCTACCCAGAGTGTTCCTCGCAGTGATGTGGAGGGCAAAGCTCTTAAAGCCATGAGAATAGGCCAGACTGTCAGCTAACAGGCCTCGAGATGGCTTGAGGGCGAGCCTGGCCTTGCCCTGTGGCACGGGAGGTACTGATCCGAGCTTCTTCGGGGTCCTGGGAGCAGAACAGGTTCCAGCTTCATTGCTGGTGGAAAACCCCATGGTGCAGGGCCCATGAGAACGTTCTGGAACCTTCTCAGCCCGCCTCTAATGCCCTCCTTCATCTTTGGCTGTGGTCTGGGATCCTTTTTCCATTTGGCCTTTTCACTTGGCATCTGTGTCCAGGCCACTGGCTCTGCCTGTGGGCATTACCTGCTGTCTGTGCCTCTAGGTGTGGCGTCCTGACCCTGCCTCCCTCTTGAGTCCTTACAACTATAAAGAATCGCCCAGACCATGTTTTCTGGGGAAGGTTCAGGATAGGCTAGGAGTGTGGCTGGAGGGGCCTCTTACATGTCAGACCCCAAGCCTGGATGTGCCGGGCCCCTTTAAGGTAGGTGGCCACCCATCTGCCCTCAGCCTGAAAAAGCCCGTTCACTGGCAGGCTGGGGGTGGCGGGGTGGGATGCAGGACCACTGGCCAGTCCACGTGTTTGCTGCCTCGCTAGCCCCGGCGAGCACACCTGGCAGGGAAGGGAGACGCGAAGCAAGTGTGGTGCTGGCAGGAGGCAGGCCGCCTGGTGGTGAGGAGCCCTGAGTGCAGGCTGGGCTCCTGCTCACAGAGCGTTCCCGTAGGAGGACGATGGGCGAGAAGGAGCCTGGGAGGGTTATGTCCCAGCTTGCAGGAGTCAGACGCCTTGCTGGGGGTGGGGTCCTCTGCTGCCCCCGCGGGCCTGGACACCGTGCTCCAGCCTCGACCTCGGAGCCTGCCGATCTCCGGAACTCCCCTCCCCTCCGTGTGCTCGTTTTGTAGTGATCAGGGCCAAGGCGGTCAGCGAGAAGGAGGTGGATTCCGGGAATGACATCTACGGCAACCCCATCAAGAGGATTCAGTATGAGATCAAGCAGATCAAGGTAAGGAGGACCCCAGACCTGCCTGCGTCCCTGCCACACAGCCAGGGACAGGAAGCAACCCGTGGATAGGAAGCGAGGGCAGCAGGCTCCGAGACCTGACTCTCCCCCGCCCCAGGGCCGAGCAGTTGTGTGGGGACTCCTGCTCCTCAGAGGGGGTCACCTTCCTTGGCTGAAACCTTAAGTCCCCAAGCTCACGTATGTCTATGTGATGTTCTATGAGTGCCTTTCTGTGGCTGTGCTGTTGGGGGCTCGGGCTCCAGCGACCAGGTCCCCCCCCAAGCTGCAGCATGCATCCAGCCTTGCTCGGGGTACTCGCAGTGCTGAGAAGAGGCAGGATTTGGAGAGTGGGGGCTTCCCAGGCCATGTGCAGGCAGAGGCAGCTTCCTGAGGGTGGGAAGAAGTGGGACCGGTGAGGTGGCGGGCACCTGCTGTCCCAGCACTGGGAAGGCTGAGGCAGGGGGATGGTGCGTGCCAGGCTGGCCTGGCCGACAGAAAGAGAAAGGGGTAGAGGAGGGAGGGGAGAGGAAGGGGGAAGGAAGATGGAGACCGCGGCGGGGCTGGTCACTGAAACCTGCTTCGTCCAGTGGAGACGGGCTGGAGTCAGGGCTGAAGGCTTGGCAGGGAGTGGTGTGCATTAGCGCTCTCAGAGCATCGTCTGTCAGGGCAGATGGGAAACCGTGCACTGGAGGGAGACCCGGAAGAGGGAGGAGGAGCCCCGTGAGGGGAACTGGAAGGATAGCCAGCCGCGAGGGCTGATGACAGACTGTCTGCAGGAGAGGAGGAAATTCCAGGCTCCAGGCGGAGGGACAGCTTTGCAACATGGCCGCTGTCAGAGCCATGCATATTTAATTTCATTCCCAAAATACTAAGTCCTAGATGGGAGATGTCATTAGGTCAGTGGACTGCTTCGTCATTCTGCCTGTGTCCCTCCAGGGGCCACCCAGTCTCCCTGGGCCTCATCTCTCATTTAAAGATTTTTTTTTTTTAATTTTGAATTTCTTTCCTTTCTTTCTTTCTTTTTTTTTTTTTTTTTGCTATAAGACATGTGCCACCAGAGAGGCACAAGAGAAAGTGAGAAATCACATGCTCTAGTCCCTTCTCCATTCTCCTCTTGGTATTTTGGGCACACACACGCTCAGTGTGTTTTTCAAGTCTCCGGGTCCAGGACTCGAACCACACAGTCAGCTATGGTTGACTGAACCTCTACACCCCCCCCTGCCAGCCCCTTCTCTCTGCTGATGAAGGAAGGAGGCTCTGCTCACATGACCCCCTCATCGCCGTCAGAAGAAGGCAGGTGTTCACCCCAGCGACGTGCGTGCAGCCCTCGGGCCGGTGACATCATCTAGTGCAGCTCCTGCCACTGTCACTTTGCCTTTCTTGGTAGGGTTGGAGCTGGTTTGCCAGGGCGTGAGGAGCCTCCCTGCTCCACTTGAGTCTGCTCATTGAGCCCAGAAAATAGCGGGCCAGCCCGTGGCCTGGCGGTTAGAGGAGCTGGGATTCCACCTGCCAACCACGCTTCAAGACCCAGCCCTAGCAGCTTGGTAACACATAAGGCACATGTGTGTGCCCCAAATCCCAGCAAGGTGGAGAAGTGGAGAGGGGACTGCAGCATCCCCTCCCACATTCGGGGGTCCCTTCTCTGGCAATTAAAAAACAAAACAAAGTAAAGTAGCCACCACCAGCCTCCTGGGAAAGCCCCTTCCGGGCAGCAGGCAGCCCTGAGAGGCTGCGAGAAGTCGGAGCCCCTGCCCAAGTGGGGGTCCGGCCGCTCCCAGGCTCCTCTGCCCTCGTGCTGTGGGACTCCTGGGAGTGCTCAAGGTGGTGGTGCCTGTGACAGGGAGACGGCGTGGAGGCGCCAGTCCGCCCACCCCCTAAATCCTGACCGGCCTCATTGGTGGCGGGGGTGGGACAGAAGGGCGACCTGAGACAGTCCCTCCAGGCACGGGGACCTCAGATCCCCACAGCACACGGAGGCGTGACGTGCCGCACGCAGGAAAGCTCCGTGCCGTGCCGCCTGCGGCCTGCTGGCCTGTGCCTCCCTGCTCCCTTCCCTGCTGGCAGGCTCAGGCGGGGGGGCGCCCCAGATCCCCACCTCTTACAAGTCCTCTTCCTCATCCTCCCAGATGTTCAAAGGACCTGACAAGGATATAGAGCTCATCTACACGGCGCCCTCCTCGGCAGTGTGCGGGGTCTCGCTGGACGTGGGAGGGAAGAAGGAGTACCTCATTGCAGGTAGGTCGACTGGTGCCCCAGCCGCCGCCCAGCTGGCCCGGGGCCACTGGGGACAGCCCAGTCTCCACCTCGTGCCCAGGCAGGCCAGTGGAGAGCCGAGGAACAGCGAGGCTGCAGGAAAGCCTGACCCTGGCGTGCCAGGCAGGTGTCTCGACCCTCCCTGCCCTTCCCGTTGGGGAGTTCCCAGTGAGTTCTCGCCCACCTGCCGGCGGTGTTCCTCCCTGCTGGCACAGAGCAGAGCAGAGCAGTGTGCTGGGGCCTGGGACTGGCGGGCGCCGGGAGGTGAGCACCTTTACCTTTGATTCTTGAAGAGGAACATGAAGCCGGGAGACCGCCTGGTAGGAGAGTCAAAGCCAGGCCTTAAGTTTGTCCGTGTGATCATGCAGGACCCTCCTGTGCACGTCCTCGTGCGCTGTCTCTCTCTCTCTCATTTGCCAGAGACCATGTGCACTAGCCGGCCCAGAGAGGGGCAGGAGAAAGCACCCCGCAGTGAGGCGTGGTCTCGCTGCAGTCCCTTCGCCTTTTCTTCATCCCGTTGGGATTTGGGGCACATCCGCACGTGTGCCTGGTGTGTTTCTCAAGTCTTGGGGGCCAGGACTCAAGCTGCACGCTTGGCTGTGTGGGATCCTGCTCCCATAACCTACTAGATCACAGAACTGGCCCTCTTTTTTTAAAAAAAAAGAATTATGGTAAACATGTATGACAGATTTTACCGTTTTCGACCGTTTTTGAGTTCAGTGGCCTTCAGGACACATTGCATGTGCTCGTCACCACCGTAACTCAGAAACTCTCGTCTTCCCCCACTGACACTTGATCCCCATTACAGACAAACCCCGCTCCCCGTCACCCAGTCCCATCGTATTTCCTGTCCACGTGAGTTGGACTCTCGGGGGCCTCCGCTGGAGGGACTGCAGCGCCTGCCCTCCACGGTGCATGCCACGTACCACCTTGTCCTGCGTTGCTGAGCTGTCTGATATCCCGTGTGTAGGTAGAGTGCAGTCTAGTACCGTCGCATCTTCCCCAGTACGTGTGAAGACAATCATTTCCCTTTCCTTCTTCCTGCCACCCCTTCTGCCTGTCCAGCCGAGCTCCCCCAGGAATGCAGAGCCGGATTCTCGACCCCGCGCTGTCCACGCTGGGGCTGGCTCTGCCTCATAGCCGTCTGGTGCACTGCAGGGGTTAGGGCATT